TTGCTATCTTGGAAACCAAAACAAAACAAAAAACCTCTTACCTCCATGAGATTCTAGTCTTCCAAAAGTGTCAGATACTGATCAGATTTTGGTTTTGGTGGTTTTTTTTTTTTTGCTGAACTATGTGTTCTTGTCCATTATCCAGTTTCTTTAAATATATTTCCCATGAGTATTAGCACTTTATATTGTTTGGGATTTAAAGCCTTCCATGTTAGTGATTTATTCCTAATATCTGTGTTTTCATATTTTGCTTTTTTTTTTCAGAAATTGTGGAAATTTGCTGCTTCAGAGCATTTAGATGATTTGAAAAATGTTAGCAGTGTTCTCTGCATTACTATAGTTTCCAGCTTATGTTCTTTTTGGGACTGATCTGATAGGAAATGTGGGTATTAGTAGAGGGTAATCCTGACGCCACTGTCTTACAAGTTGCTACTTTCTGTGTTTCTAAGTTTGCAGTCACTTTGGTTTGGATTTATTTGTATCTAATAAACTAAGTTCTACATATTCATATTTTCTAATGCAAAAGGAACCCTTTTACCAATAACCATACATTTCAATTGTTGTCTACAAATTCTGACAATTATCTGTAACTGTTTGTGTTTCTCTTTTTAAGAAAGTTCTCAGTGATAAGTCATATATACTTTAATGAATGAGGAAAATTTGTTTTTTTATTTAACACTGCCTCATGTTAAATTAGGCTAACATGTCTAACATACTGGCTAATGTACTTGATACTTCAGCCTAATTATTTGATATTTTGGCCAAATTTTGGTCTTTATGCAAAGGCTCTACATAGTGATTTCTAGCCCTGGTTTTGCTAGTTCTGCATTTATTTTAATGGGTATCACAAATTATTTCAATAGAAACATTGATACCTAATATCTGTTCCAGAGGGGGGAAGATAGGATATTAATACTGAACTATTTGGACCCTGTTAACCTAAAAAAAATCAGCCTTCCTGCGCTGCTTTAGCAGCCTGCCTCAGCAGCATCCAGCATCCAGGGATATTGAAGACATTTTTGAGGTCCCGTGGGAAACGTGTGACTGACACCATAAGAGGAAACATCATGGTATAGTGAAAAGCACTGGAACTAGAAGTTGAAGAAACCACTTTTCTGAGCCCAGTTTTGCAACAGTATGACCCCAAGCAAGTCACTCAACTGTTACCTAATTACCAGGGTTGTTGTGAAGATTAGGTGGATAAGACACTTAACCTGATCCTCCATTGCTTCATGTGTTACGTGCTCATGCTTAGATGAATAATAACTTTCCTTCAGGTCTAAAATGCTGGAGTTTATTTTCTAAAATAACTTATGATGTTTTGAAAAGTATAAATCTTCATATTTAGGAACTTAAAAAGACAAATAGGAAATTGTGGTCAAAAGGCTTGACATTTGTAGACTTTACAGCATGATGGCAGATGATGGTTGATAAACCATCAGATTGTCTCATTCGCTCCCATGTTTCTTTGGGACTTAGTTCCAGAGTTTTAGCTTCTGTGTATAGTGCTATTCTTATTCCCTATGTACTTGTTTGTAATGGAGACTGACCAGCAAAATTTTGCTCTATAAGGAGTTATCTTTGATATTTATTCAAATATATCCATTCTGATAACAAAGAATACAGTTCATTGTATGTTTCAAAGTAGACTACTATGACCATAATGTCCCAGTCATCTTTCAAGTGTTGTATTTAAGGTTTTTGGTGAACTCCAAAAACCATTGTGTGAATGACTTTTTTTTTTTTGAGATTTTTAGCTTTTATTTCTATTGGTACTATTGAGACTATTGACGTTGGTTTAATTGCTTATATGAAGAGATTAGATTTTCTTTAAGTTGGATCTGAAAAGTGAAAAGTGATGAGAAGCAGGGTCATCTGTAATGCCCAAATTTAAAACAGTATTGAAATAGAAGCTAGGTATTTAGAGGTAAACCATAGCTTTTAAGCTATTTGAAGATTGTGGTCTATTAATGGGGCATGTGGACTCTTGACTCCTGGTAGTAGTGATGTTCTTGAGGAGATCAACATTTGTACTCTTGATTTTTTCAACTTGGTTATGTAGAACAAAAGAAAATAAATACTTTTAAGCTAATTTCTTTTCAAACACAAAAAACTGAAACAAAAGTTTGTAAAATTAAAAATGAAACCACTTCTTCCCCCACTATTATCCTTTTCAAGCCCAGAGATAAGTGCTATTAGTGTGTTACCACCAACCCTCCCAGATACTTCTATGGATATATAAGGAAGTATACATGAATGTGTTTCTAGTCCCCACGCCATTCATTCCCAGTAATTTAATTTCTTTTCACTGAATATATCTGCACATCTTTGATATCAATATGCACATCTGCCCTTTTTTTTTCATGACCGCATAATGTCCCATTGTATGACTGTGCTATAATTTATTTAAACAGTCCCCTTTAATGAACATTTAGATATTTTTATTTTAGCATAGTATTACCGTGAAGATTTCTGTATATATATCTTGGCATACTTTTGCATAAGATAAAATCTTAGCAGTTGAATTCTTGACTTAATGAGTACTTTTAGTTGATCTGCATTTTCTTGATTTTGAGTTAAGTTGAACATTTTCTCATACGTTTATTGGTCAGATTTTGTATTTTGCTGAACTACCTGTTCATAAACTTATGACACATTTTCCTATTGGTTTGCTCAGTTTTTTTCTATTGATTTATTCATATTCCTCTGTGTTACGAAATTAGCTTCATATCGCTGTATTGGCTGATATTTTCCCAATTCTGTGATTCTTATGTTGTTACTTACTTTATATCTGTTTATTTGCTTACTGTTTTGCCACTACATAGTGTTTAATTTCCATGTACTTAACAATTTTTTTACATTGTTTTATGGGCTTTGTGTTTTATATTTAAGGCTTTCTCACTTCAAGATTATTAAAATGTTACTTTTTCTAGTAATTCTTTAGTTTCATTTTGTGTACTTAAATCAGTGATCCATGTGGAATTAATTTGGTATAGAGAGAAGTAGGGACCCGGCTTTAGCCAACAAGTTGCCTGAAACACCCTTATTAAAACATGCTTTTCCCCTGTAATTTAAAATGCAGTCTTGATTTTATATATTCCTATTTTTGGATATATAGGATTTTATAAAATCCTAGTGTGCATTTATTTCTGGACTCTGTATTGTTATTGATACGTCTATATATAACTTCTAGTAGCACCAAACTGTTCCACTCCTGCAGCTTGTAACTTGTGTTACTGTCTGTTAGGATAGTTCCCTTTTCATTCATCTTTGAAAATTTATAGGATATTATCGCCTTTTTTCCTAGATAAATTTTAGTATAATTTTGTCAAAACACTTCCGTCTCTTGCCCCCAAAACAAACTAACACACGCCATCTTGGGATCATATGGGGTGGGATGTAAAAATTGGGGCTGGGGAGAGGGAATAACACCATCATTGTAATGAATTTTTCTATCTAGGAATATGATAGGGATTTCCATTTTAAATTTTCCATTATTCCCCTCAATAAAATAGCATTTATCACATAAATTCTGCATGTTATTTGTTAAACTGTGCATAAATATTTATCTTTTTTATTACTCTTGTAAACAATTTTTCCTTCCACTTTCCAGTTTGATAGTATGTTTATAAAATAAAGTTACTGGGTTTATGTACTTGGGTTTTCCCGACAATACTATCATCTGCAAAAAATTTCTACCTTTCCTCTGCACTTTTGATACTTCTTTCTCTTAATAATTTATATTTTCTTAAAACATGGCCCACTTTACCTCATTTTTCAAATTTATTTGCATAATATGTTATCTAATAATTCTTCTTTTGAATCTGTGCTTATTTCCCTTTTTTGTTACTCAAGGAATTTGTGTTTACTTGCCTTACCTACTACAGCAAATAGTAAAGATACTCTTTTTTCAATATTATTATCTTTGAAGTTAAAAAATTCTTCCATGCAGTTAATCTGTATGCCTCATCCTGCTGTTGTAGTCACTGCTTTTTTTTTTTTTTTTAACTTCGTCTTCCATAAAATGAAGACTACTCTGATAGTTTTTTCTACTAAGATTGTTATGAAGTCACTTGTTAGCTTTCTTCTAAGCTAAATATTTTTAGTTTTTGGATATAGCCTCATGGAACACAGTTTTCTAAAATCCTTATATCTCTTTTGGAATTTCTTGAGGAGATTTAACATTTTGGCTAAATTTTTAACATACTTCCTATTGAGGGACCTTAGTCACAATTACATTGTTTGCCTCTAAAAAATAGTATTCTAGCCTACTACATATTTTAAATAGCCAAAGTAACTCCATCCTCAGAGCAAATAGTATTTAGAACAGAATTAAAAATGATAAGTGTAATTTGTTTATATATATTTTTTATATTTTCGGGGAAAAAGAATTGTTGACAATGTCATGGATAGACTGTGTTTCATCAGTCTTGAAAATAAAGGTTGTTGCATAAGCTAGTTAGGTCCTGGAGTTCCATGTTTGTGCAGAAACACTCTGCTCCTTATTTTTGAATGAGTTACAAGATTGGCAAAGAAAAGCATGTTTGTAAGGCAGATAGGAAAATTCCAGGGGAGATGCAAGATGGGGCTAATACTAATTTATGTGGTACATACATGTAAATATGTGTTAGCAGGTGTTTTTGTACAGATGTGATCAAATATGATTATGTTTTCTAGGATAAAATGAGTGTGCTAATTTAACAGTAACTTTAATGTTCGATTTAAATTTTGTAGGTAATAACAATATCTTCTAAAAATGCAGCATTAACGATTGGCATAGCTGCAATTGAGTCATCTTGAATAAAGCAGTGCAAAAAGGTGCTTTTAAAAAGGAAGCAGCAATAATTTTGTGACTATTCAATTTTATGATGATATATTTACTGTATAAGTACGTTAATAACTTGCCCCCACTGAGAAATGGCTTCTAGAGGATCGCAGTGTATTACTTACATTAGAATAGAAATAATAATGAAATTTTCTCTCTCTCTCACCTTTTTTAGGTCATGGAAAATGGGAGATTTGCAAAATACAAGTATTTTACCCATGTCATGATCAATAAAACAGATATGTTAATGATCACTAAAAGGTAACTTTCTTTCTCAAACGTAATTTAATGAGAGGTTGACTGAGAAGCCCCTCATGAAGAGAAGCAGGTGACATTCATCATTTGTTGCAGATAGTCACACTGATTCCTGCTAACTCTGATCCTTTTGCTCTACAAGCTTTGTACCAAAAACCTTACATAAACTCATATTTAGCTTTGTGCGTGCGTACAGATAAATGCATTGAGCCATGCACAAACATAAATAACTTAGTATTTTTTTCAACCAATATGAATAATACAGAAATTCCCATAAAACTGTCCTCACGCTACCATTTCTTCCACCTCTGAAAAAGTACACAATTTCAGATTACCCCAGAAGTCTTCTGGTAATATCTATTCATTAGCATGCAGAGAAATTGACTCACGTAAGTACATACACCATTGGAGACAGATCAGTTCTTACATGGGTACTCCCAGCTACAGCCAAATCCTCAAGTAGACTATAGACAGTAGAAGTACATGTAAAAATACACAGCCTCAGAGGGGCTAGTTTTTGCAGGAGTCCTTGTTAAACTGAGGAAAAGAATGAGCTGGTACAGTATTAAAATGGGGATTTCTGGATGGATGGCACAGAGTGAAAATGTGCCTGAAGGACAGAGGTTGTGGCTGAATAGAAAGGAGTGGTAAATAAGCCTGCGTGGTTCACTATCGAAAAGGTGAAGTTATAGTAACATCTTGTTAGTTCAAGCTCACTGTTGAACTTAGCAGTCATTTCTAATGTTTTTTGTCCTAATCATTTCTGAGTCTAAAATTTACAACACTATCTAATTTTCTTATTTAAAAAGTAACACAGAATAGAAAATTCACACGGTATTAGAAGATATACATGTAAAGTTAGTCTTCGTTCCATCCCAGATACCAGTCCCTCTTTTCCCTGCCCCAGAGGCAACCACTTTTACTTGTTTCCTTCTTGAAATAGTCTGAGTATACAAGCATCATGCATGTATATCTTAACGTAAATGGAAATCTGTTACATGTACCATTCTGTACTTGGCTTTAATTTTTTGCTTTAGATCTATGTCAATATCAGCATATGGATATCTTCCTTAATTTATAAAGGACTGCTTGGCGTTCATTTAGAAGTATGTACTATACTTTACATTTAAGTTGTTAATAAGCTTTTATAATTAGGGCAGTGCTTCAGCAGCCCTTTCTGTTCATAGCGATTTTCAGTCATGTTTTTATTAATCCTCTCTCCCATTGACTACGTGAAGTGTGACTCATCAGAGTTAAACAAGAGTCAGTTGCAAAATTTAATAGTTTACAATTTAGTTTGCAACATTTAAAAACTGACCTCAACACAGTAGACCTCTTTAAAGGAGGTCCTATAAACCTTGATAAAGTAAGGGAAGTGACTTGTAGTTGACTGAAGAGTGGTATTCATACTTAGCATTTCCTTTCTTTCCAAGTTTGAGATTTGAGGATTAAACAGTCTTTGAATGGGGGGAGGGGGAGTGTACCAGGTGCCTGCTACAAAATTAGCCTTAGATTTTTTTATGTGGTTGAAGATGTGCGGGAGGACCAGTAGGTTTGTTCGAACAGTCCCTGTAATCCAGGATTGGTGAAAGAGGGGATCAGAGACAGAAGATTGAATTGAGAGGGGCGCCTGGTGGCTCAGTCATTAAGCGTCTGCCTTCGGCTCAGGTCATGATCCCGGGGTGCTGGGATCGAGACCTGCATCGTGCTCCTTGCTCGGCGGGAAGCCTTCTCCCTCTCCCACTGCGCGCTGATTGTGTTCCTGCTCTTGCTATCTCTCTGTCAAATAAATAAATCTTTAAAAAAAAAAAAAAAGATTGAAGTGAGAGATATAAGTCTTGATTAGCTTGTTCCAGCCAGAAGCCAGCTCTTTAACACAATCCCTTGACTTAAAGTATGTATTACTTTAAAAAAAAAAAAAAAAAATCTGGTTCCACCTAGAATTGATGCTTCAACCAGAAAGAAGAACTGGGAAAGTAAAGGCCTTTGAAAGAAGGATTAAGTAGAAGTATAATAGAATGCATTTTTCATTTGATTTTTTTTTTCCTCTCAAGATGGGAAAGCAAGAATTAATTTTAAATAGCCTTTTTTAAGGTAGGTTGGTAAGCCTATTGCATGGAGCCTTGGTAATAAAAACATTCTAAAGCAGTAATTACATGAAAGTTCTCCAAGATATTAGCTAATAATAGGTTCTGTCAATTTTTTTCTATTGTGTATAAAGTGCCTTACATATTTGACTCTAGAAGTACATTCATTTTTTCTAACATAAGTACGTTGTGCTATAAATTTCCCACTAAGCATTGCTTTAGTTACATCCCACAGATTTTGCTATGTTGTGTTAGATTTTCTTCTCATTCACTTCAATATATTTTCTAATTTCTTCTGAGATTGTTTGACCCGTGGATTATATAATAGTATGCTAATTTCCAAGCATTTAGAAATACTTTTTCTGTTCCTAGTTTCTCATTTAATTTCATTATGATCAGAGGGTATACTTTGTATGATTTCAGTTCTTCTATATTCCTTAAGTTTTTTTATGACTCGGAATATAGTCTCTCTTGGTTAACGTTTTATGTGCACTTGCAGTGAATGTATATCTTGCTATTATTATATTATTGGACGTAAGTGCTTTTATTTCTACAGTGGATTCTTTTTTTTTCCCCCAGTGGTGTATTGTTTGTAACAAAAGGAACATTTGGACAGCTTACATGTGAGTGGCAGTACAGTTTTGATGAGTTTACCAAAGAGCCGTTCATTGTTCACGGGAGGAGATTACGCATTGAAGCAAAGGTATGTTGAATAGATTTTTTTGAAAACTTGGAACTGAAAATAATGCATTGAAATGGTGCTCTTTATAATTTTCCCATCTCTTTCATAGACATTGCTTTGTCTTACTGTGGTTTTCCTTTACACCTCCTGTCTTATTCAGGCTTAAAGAAAAGCAAGCTAGGTCAAGAAAAATGCGACTTTATGTGCTATTGCATTGACAACAATGTTCCTGGGTCTTCACTTTCTAGAACCCCCAATTTCTCACTGCTGTCCAAGACACAAAAATGAGAAGATCATTTGTATACCTCAGAATCCCTAGCAGTTCCATACAAAATGCTTTTCCCTGAAAATCTTAAAAAAGGACACTTGAAAAGTTACCTCTCTAAGACAGTTACTGGAACTTCTTTTTCTTTTTATAGGTATTCTTTTTCTTTTTATAGATATTAACTTCCCAGTTCCATTATAATATTGAAAGCAGAGACCAGTTCTCACTCTGCATTGATTACTAGCATGGTGCCTGGTACTTGGATGTAGATATGAATTGCTAGTCCTTTGGCAAATCAACAGATTCTCAGTATCCATTGTAAGTTTTAAAGATTGCACGAGGTATTATAAGCGATATAAAGAAATATAAAGTATTTGGCCTCAAGGTATTTGACCCAATACCTTTGTGTAGGGGCACTTTGGCACTGGCTGTATTAGTAGGAAATATTGTAAATGCTAACTTGACTCAAGTTAAGTCTTGTTCTTTGTTATTTTTTTATCTTGATTTTGAGGGCTTTAATTGACTCCTGTAACTGAAAGTCTTAAGTCTATATCCGCTAGTTTAGATATGCTCCAATGGTGTCGTTAGCAGTTACTCTCTCTCCCTTCCTCTCCTCCTTCATTCTCTCCTTCTTCGCCACCCCCACTTCTAGGTTCTACTTTCTTCAGTGTTGGCTTCATTGTCAAGCCAGCCAGCAGAAGTTCCAGGTTTATGTCCTACTAGCTCAGCAACATGAAAGCTTCTCACTGGGTTTCACTGGGCCACCTTTGGTCACATGCCCATTCCTGAGCCAGTCACTTTGGTCAGAGAGCTGGTATGAGCCAGATGGCCAGGTGAGGGTCATGGGATCACCATGGTGCTTCCAAGAAGGGTGGGTCAGCTCTATCTGAAGTATTTGGAGTGAGAGAGGGTGAGAAATAGTTACCCAAAGGAGACTGAAAAAGTTGTTGCTGGAACAAGAGGCACTATAGACGCAGGCAGAAACAGATGTTTTGTGGGCTAGCCTGTAGAACAGAACTGCCCCAAGGTCTTGCGTTTAACCATTAAAGATCATGTCTCTAGTCTTAACACTCATTGCAAACACAGAGGCAGCTCCTGAGTAGACTGGCTATTTGTTCTTGAGGATCTTAGACCATCTTACACATTGAGAATTTCTCTGATTCATTCAGAAAATGAAAGGCCCTGTGGCCTCAAGCAAAATAATGGATAGCGGCTGTTACCTTCTGCTCTAGCCTATACTGCTTTCCTGGCTTTTTTCATACCTTTTTTTCTCTCCAAAGATAAACTTCTTCTTATCTTCTTGGTTTCTTTCCCTTCTACCTTTTCTTGAACCCTTTTATCAGCAAATACCCCTTTTTTTTTAAAGTAAAAGAATCAGATATCTTCTAGAGTCTGTATTTACATGGTGGTTTGAATTACCTAGAGACCCTCACATTGCTTCCTCTACAGCTCTGCCCATAGTTAATAGAGGTAAACATCACCCTACTCCTCATTAGTCCTGTTATTTCAAACAGAAGTTTGATCCCTCTCATGCTTACTATCCACCTTTAGCTCTCCCCACAAACACTGAACAGAATACCAGAGGAGTGTAAAAAGTGGGGGACAATAAAAAAAAGTAGAGGGCATTAAGCTTAAGCTACATTCTTATTACATGACTGATTTAAAATGTCAGAAGTTACGTACATATACACACCCCTATCCAACACACGTGTGTTTATTTTTTAACTGAACTCATCTTAATTTCATGGCCAAATACCAAGAACTACCTGCGAAACTATTTGGAGGGGAAAACACTGCTCTGATTTACCTCCTCATCCTTTGCATAAACCCTGTATGGCTTTGGCAAGTGAAATCTCAAAGCTTTTTAACTTAAGTTTAATGATAATGGATATGTTAGAATTTAGTCTTTTTTTTTTTTTTCCATTTGTGTTTGATTCTTCTTCGTTCTTCATTTTTGGCTTTTTTAAAGGAGTATAATTTGTGTAAGGTGGACGCTTTAAGCACAGAATTATAAAACTGTGGCATTTTTTAAATCCTATGTCTACAACTGGATTTTCATTTTAATGAAGTTACTCTGTTTATAGGAACGGGTGAAGTCTGTGTTTCATGCCAAAGAGTTTGGAAAAATAATTAACTTCAAGACCCCAGAGGATGCTAGGGTAAATATAACAAATCTCTTTTACTTAAACAGCAGCTTCTCATTTCAAAGCCATGTAATAAGTTGGACTGTTTTCTAAGGCAGATAAGTTTTGTTTTTAATTTTGTTTTTGTGTTTTTACAGTTTTACTATATGCAACTAGATAATGTTTCCTCAAAACTATTTTTCATTACCACCTTTCTCAGTTTCTCTGTAATACGTTTTTCATTTCATCTCTGTCACCGTGTTATTTTATCCCAGAAGGCTTGTTTTTAATCTTCCTGCTCTGCCAGAAACATCCAGAGAAGGCTACTGGGCTCAGTTCTCATTTTCTGTTTATGTTAGAGACAGTCCCACTAAGATCTTCTTACATTAATAGAAGCGCATATACCTCTGCTGGAGCTTCTCATAATGGGATAACCCTAATATCGCCTCCAGGGCTTTCATCCGTCACATAGCCCCTGTGATAATAGACATTATTGGTAGGGAGTTTTGCATTATATTTGCATTTTATTTTTGCAATTTCAAAGCCTTTCAAAATAGAAAAGATCTATATCATGAGAACACCTAAAATACTCAAGAAGGTTCCTATGTTGCTAGCCACTGTAGAATTACATGTAATTATTCCTACTTCCATCAGTAGAATCCTATATATGGAATCATGAAGGTTTGTGATAACAGAATTGACATCTGGCGGAAGAAAGTTTGCATAGATAGTTTTCAACTATGCCACAGTTATTCAGCCAGCTGCCAGATTACCCTTTTCTCTCAAGATGGTTTATTTTACTTATTCTGAAGATGAACATTCAAGTCCAAAGACCTTGGAAAAACATTATTCTTATTGTTAAACCTGGTACCATTGTCTCTGAAATTCTGGGCTATTTAACTGAGGTGAATGATGTCTTATGCAGGGTGAATTTAATTATTGGCCATGAGTATACACCTAACCAAACTAGAAAGCCAACTTCTGAATTTACATTCATTACATTTTGGGTTTCATTGCAAGTTCTTGAAATAAGCAAATGTTGGTTTATTTCTCCACAACAGTGGATCCTCACAAAACTAGAAGAAGCAAGAGAACCTTCCCCAAGATTCTGATGGAGAATACTGCCTGAAGAGACACAGCAATAAATCATTAGAGTTTCAACCTTGTACCTTCCAAAACCAGTTTGGGAAGTATAGTACAAAAGTAATTTCAAGTACTAAAGAAAAAAAAAATAACAAAAAATTGGTTGCAATCAGGTAAAACAATCATGTGATTAAAATATTTCAACTCATTGGGGATTCATTTGGTTTTCTAACTTGAATCATGCATCTGGTTAAAATTCTAATTACTTTATAAAAGAAACATGTCTTTTATGAATCTTAAATATTTGCTCCAAGTGGTCCTCTGCAGTATGGAGAAATTACCCATATTGCGCACCCTGCATGGAGCTAAGTTTAATGTTTCTCATTTGTATTTTAAACTTCTATCATGCTTACTTCAGACTCCCTGAATCAGTGACAGGTAAATGATCAAATCAAACATAACCTCAGTGGTATCAAGAGAACCTTAGTGGTGGTTTCTTTAGAAACGTGAAGTTCTTTTTACAGATAAATATTTTGGTATTATTTTCCTTATTTTTTTTATAAAGGATAGGTTTGAATTATACTTCCATAGGATGACTATGAAAAACCTTTTCTAATATAATATAATACAGATTGAATAATACCCCTTCAAGCCTCATCTTATCTTAAGAAAGGCTGGAAGAAATGAGTGTTATACCCAAAAAGGAAAAGCCCCTTTCAGAACTTTGAAGCCTTAGAAATACTTCCTCAAGCCAACTTCATGGGATCTACTTGGTTTACCCAAGTCACGTTTTTAACAGATTGCTGACTTTAATGGAAAATCCCTGAAGCCTTAACAATACCAAATTTCCATTCACTGATAATATGAAATAAACGAAATTCCCACCATCGTAGATACAAGTTAAGCTTCAGAACAGACAGCCCTTCTTGTAAGTAAATGTCTGTACCCTGAAGTGTCTGTTGGCAGAAGATTGGGAATTGCTGCTGTGTTTTCTCTACAGTTATTCAAATGAGAATCACTTGTAAAAGCTCATCAGGACAAAAATCATGGTCTGCGCATTAGTAAAAATAAGGTCATGGGGGTTTTTTTTCTTGGTTTTTGTCCAAGATCCTTGTACTTTAATATTAATGGACTTTTTCAAGTGAAAGGGGATGAATATATGATTATGAACCATGAAAAGAATAATGCAGTGTCTTATTTAGTTATTGAATAATACAGAGTATTTGATGCATGTCGTATGTGCCATGAAATTATTATAAACTGTTTCTGGGATTGGAAACTCTGTATAGTCAGTGATTGTGAAATTCTTCTCAGGGTCCTCAAACCCTTGCTTTGTTGTAAAAGCTAAAATAAACAGCATGCCAGAATGTAATTGTATTTCTTCCTGACTGAATCCTACTACTGATTTTCCTTTGATTATAAAAACACATTGTTTATTATCAGTATTTTCCCCAGAATGTTTTTTTCTTTGCTGAACATAAATTGAATGAAAAGATGACAAATTTCATATCCCATGGTAGTGCGTGCTCCCATGACTTTTGTTCAGAGCAACATAGACATTTTCTCTGTTGCTCAGCTCCTCCAATTTTACACACATTAGAATTAAAACTAAGAGTAGTCGCCAGAAAACTTTCATCAGATTGTCCCCATTTGAAATGTTGCTTTACTGGAGTTCCATCCAGTGCCATTAACCAAGTACCTCTTTATGATTTCATTTTCTGAAAAAATACACACCCATAACTTCTTGGGTGTTCCATGGTAAAGGGGAAAAGCCTAAAAGAGTAAGCAAAGATTTTTCAAGTATCCTCTGGAGAGCAGCAGGGAACAGGTGTAGTAACTGGTGCATATGCAAAGCCAGCCTGCCTGTTCTTCCTGTTCACTTACCAATGAGGACCTAGAAATATCTTTTCTTATTTTTGAGTAGTGGTCTGCCCATCAACACCTCCTGTCACTTCCTTTGTTTCTATAGTAGGAAGACCCACAATTACAAGAGCAGTCGTTTATCAATTGTCTTAGAAGATTGTCTTCATCTAATAAGGAACATCAGTAGATTACTAATGAGTCTTTTTAGCATAACATTTTATAATTGTGTGTTTGATTCTATATTCTTTTTTCTTGAACATTACAGAGTCCATAATCTTACTGTGTTTGAAAATAATCTTTCCTGAATTCTGTTTAACATTTAATGGCTCTCTGAGAGCTTTAAGCTTCTCACAGTTGGTAGCTGCTATGGAATGAGATCCTGAGTATTGTGTCCCTTCCCTGTGTTGTTAGCTATGGCCCCAGCCCCTTATTTCTAGCCCAGCATCTATTCTGGCCCGTGATGACTGTGTAGAGCCCAACACAGAGTATCTGTTCCCTGCCAACTCTCCTCCAGAAAACTATGATTTTTAGAAACAGCAACTTTGATTTCTGGTACAATGAGAAGCCTGTGATTTCTTCACATTTACAAAACACTGTCTGAACCCAAGAGCATGTGCACTTCTCCATTGCCTTCCCTCTTACTGTGTATGTATTGGCTGCTTTTTCCCTAGTGTTAGTAAAACCTTGGGATTTTCCCCAGGTTCAGTTTAATACAGCCAAGTTATTTTCTGGTCCCTAAATAATCATTAGCTGCTGTAGGCAGTCCTTTCCTGATCCACCCTCTTCCACAATCCTAACCCATGACAAAACTGTCCTGTTGCCTCCAAATAAATAAGAATTCTTCTTATATTATTTCCATCATAATTATCTTGTTTTTTTATGATGGTAATAACAGTAAATTTTCTCAATGAATATATGTGCATCTAGCTTATCTCTTAGAAATATCATAGTATTTTATTCCTGTCTGATTAAAAAAAAAAAAAAAAGACTCAGTGCTGAATTTTCTGAATTTTCAGTCATCACTTGCCAGTGTTAAGTGATCCTTCAGGCCAGGCCAAGTCCCCTGTATTAAAAAGGTTGGGACAGTAGATACTAGGCTAGTTTGCCCATAGGAGTTGAAACTGGGTGCCAGATACACTGCAGATAGAAGTAGCCGTTTGGAACTGGATGTTTTCCTCTTCCTGCCAACACAATTGGGAGGAATTTGTTTGGGTTCCAAAGCCATTGCTTTTTACCTTTTCTCAAGATAATCAAAATCCTCAAGGACAGTGTCTTTTTAAACTGTAGGTCTTAACCCATTAGTGGGGCCATAAAACCAATTTCACAGCTCAAGGCCAGCATATTTTAAAAGTGGAATAGAAATGAAAATAAGAGAACATTGCATGTAACAAGGTTAAATATTGTTTCCTGAGATGTTTCTTAAATAGTTTATACACTATGTGTACTGGGTCATAATATAAAACGTTACTTCCTATTGTGAATTGCAGTTAAAAAAAAAACAAAACCTTGAGAACCGCTGCTGTGGGAGGCATGGGCCAAACACTATTGGAACAATCTGGATTGTGTGGAACCTGACCTTAGATAAGGAGCAGCAGATCCACAACTCAGGGATATCTTCAGATTTTGAGCATCGTCTTTTTCTTTTGAGCAAGAAGATAGGATGACTGTTGTTTTGCTTTTTATAAGATGTTTTCCTTTCCTGATGAGTATCAGATGCCCTCAGGTACCAGAAAAAACATAGAAAAGTTAGATCTGCAAACAGCACCCAAAAAAGTCCACAGGCTTTTAACTAGAGATTCTTAACTAGAGATATTTCGACCTCTCTCCCACTAAGCATTTTACTAGGATTGGAGACAGAAGTTCTCCCCTTTTATGAATTTGCTGTGTCCGCCTTTGGTGTGATTCACACTGTAAGGTGGTAAAGGCCCTTAAAAATGGGGAGCTTAGATAAAGGTCACACTTTTGTAGGGGTCAAAGTACTCGTTCTCTGGAGGGTGCTATACAAATGTTGGTGCAGCTGATGTGAAATAATTGGATTTCCTCATTTCTGTAGATTTCTGGTAGAAATAACCTGCAGTCCTTATTCAAGGTTCAGGACAGGACAAAATTCATTCAATCTGACTTTCTTTGGTGCTATTACCCAGTATCGCCTGTAGCTCCTTCACATGCCTTAAAAGAAGGCCATTCACCTAGTGCTTTGAAATATACTTTTGAAATTACACCTGACTGCTAATGCTGACCAATCAAGTTAGTATTAATCAGTTACAATTTTTATGGTTCGTTGACTCCGTACTTTTGGTCATTGGCTAATACAGCTATTAGCGCAGACCTTCGCTCATGCTTCTTTTCTTTCTGCCGCAATTGGTGTAAAGGAATACTGTTTCAGGGTTATTCTGCAAGCAGGCCAGCACACAGGCTGAGAAGATGCGGGATCCTACTCTATCCACACCTCCTTCACATTTCTTTAATTGAAACCTTCTCTACTTTATTTCCTGTTTTGTGAAATAAGTTGTGCCATGTCATTTAAAAAAAAAAGTTTTACTTTAAAAGTATGGATTATTTTTTAAAGCATAATAGCATTTTCCAAAAAAAAAAAAAAAAGATACTTTTGGTTACCCAAAGAGTTATACATAACAAATGTTAACCTCAAACTTTATAGTATGATATGTGTGTAAATTTTTTATTAACTTATACAATACACATGAATACGTATTATAGTTTAATACCCGCTGTGATGCGATCTGTCAGTCTGAAAACCCTGTCACTGAACACTCATTAAGTATTGCTCTGATACCTAAATAATGGGTCCCTTCTAGTGAGGTCCTGTAACAAGAAATCCTGTGAGAGTTCCACAATAAAAAGTCTAACAGAAGTGTACTTAGAACATGTTGGAAAACTCCCCATCCCTTATTAGGCCATCCTACTGTCGGTGTTCCATTGGCTACCCAAAAGTTCTCTATTTAGGGGCTGAAAAGCACTCAAAAATGTAGATTACATTGAAATGATATCAGTAATTTTATACACAAACTATTCGAAATCAGACCTGGGGCTTGTTTCAATTTCGGGTAGATTGTTATAGACTTCTTAAAAAATGATCATCTCTGTATGTGAATATGTGTATGACAAATGAAAATGGATTTTTCAGGGAATGTGCACTTTAGAAATACTTCCTTACTGATTTTTCTGTTGACCAAATAGTCTGTGCTTCTTTGAGATGCTAACTATTCTTTGGTAAAAATATGGTTATTGATGATGTTAATTAATTTTTAAAATATCTATTTCTGCA